GCGGGTCACGTGTATCAGTCAGTGGCTGCAGGGAAATGCAGCAGGGGAGACAAGCCTTCTGAAATGAAACACAGACTCTGGGAGTCACCTCTTATGACTGTCTAGTGATCTCTGCAGAGGGTTGGTTCCAAATGGACAAAAAAAATGTGTAATTGACTTGGACTTTCTTTGCTCTTCCTCAACTATATTCATCTTTCATAAAAAGTATAGAAGATGGAAGAGACCCTCTTCTGATGATGATTTCTCCAGCTTAAAATACTGAGTAACTTCTCAGATAACTTACTTTTCTACTTTTTCCTTTCAGCCTTCTGGCATTTCTGGAAAGAAAAAAAAAAAATTAAAAAATTCCATTGTGATACATCCTCTGTGCCAAGGATTTTGAACAGAAATAATTATTTCTAATTAGGTACAGTATTTCACTATCTTAAGAGTCCTTAAATCAGCACAGCTTTCTTCTAGGTTGAATGCAACGCAATTGCAAGAATTTCTTTGTCTCCAGGTATATAACTATGAAACAGCTTGTTAACCTTTTTTTCAACTTGGGGAAATATATATGTATATGTGCATTACATTGCAACCAATCTTGTCTTAGGAAGCTAGCATGATATTACACCCCAGCTATGAAAAAGCAGAGCTATTTTTAAATGGTCATTGTAAGTTAAATTTATCTTCTCGTGAAGTTTAAATAGAAAATATATCTACAAATATAAGTGGTAACTGTAGGGAGGTTCGGTTTGGGCAGTGGACAGGCACCAGACTGGGCTGTATAAACAGGGTAAGATTGATACTGCAAATGCTGATGCACACAAAAAGACTTTCCTCTTGCAATAACTGATGGAACTAATCCTCAGCAGCTGCCCAGGAGGGGAAAGTTATTCCTCAGCACAGCGATTGCGAGAGTGCTGGCAGAGTTCACCACCAAGTTCAGCCCGACTCAGACACTAAAGCCCATTTTTTGCTGATCCCCCTGCACAAAGAGCCCCTGCTGGCTCAGAGGGGGAGGGGTGCTGAGGAAGAGATTTACTTTTTCTTTTTGGTGCTTTCTGTGGGGAATGTTCTGTATAACCTTGGGAACAGGAAATACTCTGTTGGCCCCAAAAGAAAAATATTTGAACACATACCTCAGTTTAAAATGTGCTGACATCAGTGAATCTAATCCATATGTTGAAAGGAAGCACAGACCTAGAGCAGTGTACTGAGCTGTGGTCTCAAATGACAGAGCCAAATTTTTCATAGGAAAGGTACATTATAAATTCCTCAGACATGTCTTATTGGCCAGTTCCTCCCACCCCAGACATTCAGATTTTCTTAAACATTTGGATCCACTTCCACATAAACATTTTTTTCATTAGTTTCACATAATTACAGAGCAGTAAGTACAGAAGTTGTGCAAGTATTAAGTGGCAATGAGAATTTACCTGAGATAAATATACTTGAAGTGGAAAATGGGCAATAGCCTGTTTATTAATGACCAAAAATCAGAGGTCAAACTCTTCAAAAACCTCAGCTACACAAATTTTAAGGTTGTTTCCCTAGGTTGTTTTTTTTGGTTGTTGTTGTTGATTTTTTGTTTTTGTTTTTTGGGTAAGTGGACAGTTAAGCAGAAGTTTTTGTGTTCATTTTTTGTTTTTCCCTCAGAGTGTTTTTTCTAAAAAGCTTGCAGTTGATGAAGTGGAGAGTGTTCTTAAGGAGATATTTGCAGTATTTTTCTCTCAAAAAGATTTGCACACCAGGACTTGCTGGTACCTTTCCAAATGCTATTGCATATTCTTTTCTATATATTGTGTTTCCAAGGTGAGACCACCTTAAATAATAGCTTAAACACTTGAATATTAAAATAATCAAGTTTTGGGACTAATCAGGAAGAAGTGGGAACACTTGAGACTTCTGAGTGTGCTCAGATTAGAAAAATACCCTTTTGACAGCAGCCTCCAGCAAAGCAATAGAGGGAGGCTTTGTGAGGAGGAAATGTGCTCCTTCACTCACAGTTCCTCCAAAACTACCACCCTGACCTGACAAGAGGGACTGCTGTTTTGAGACTCATACTCATTATATTCATCTGTTGGAGAAAAAATGGGAACTTCTTTAAAGGAGGTGCTTGCATTGGAAGCATTTTTCCATTTAAAGTGTTACTCTGAACACCAAAGCTTTACTGCTTGTGCAACAGCCCTTCAGCTGCCTGTGGCTGCATCTGCCACGGCTGGGCCTCTGAGCTGTTCTCATCACAACGCTGTTATGAGAACTTTATACATAGATAGTGGGAAAATGAAGTGAGGGTGAACAGATTGTGACAGATCTTGGAAAAACATTTTTCCTTGTCAGACTAAATACGTTTCTGTGGTTTAGTGCTCGTTTCTATGTAGACTGGAAGCATTTTGAGGCAGGAATTGTCTTTTGTTGAATGTTGGTAAAGTATTCCCTGTTGGGGATTCTCAGGTGGTCTCTTTGGGTGATTCAGTTTCACAATGGCAGTTCACGCACAGCTTTTTGTGAGGCGCACTGCCAGTTTGTGCCAGGATGATGAGCAGTACCAGGAGCAGCCACCCACGTTTGCAATCTGTAATTCAGTTCTGAGGTTGTGATGTGACAAATGGAAGAGAGAACACGGCCATGCTCAGGAAGAGCCGCTGGAGAGACAGGAAGGGAGCAGTGACTGGAATAAGGTGGCCGGTAATAAAGTCCAGATTACATCACACACTGGTGCGTGCTCCCTTGGCTTGGAAAATTTATTAATTTATGTCATTTATTTTTAGGTACCAAATACAGTGGCAATCAGATAGCCAGATTGATTAGCCAGGTTAAAACAGAATAATCTTCCAAAGGAATGTACCTATTAAATTAATATAAATTGTCTACCAGCAAGGTACAGAAATGAATATATTCAAAATCTCTACGAAATGCAGCAATAGCAGGACTTGCTGAAATGACACATAATCTCCTAGGCGTGAAAGTTCTGGAAGAGGAGGTGAAGTAGGGCCGTGCAGCAATGTGCCGGGGGCGAGCAGAGCTTCCTCGGCTACCGGAGCCCGGGGCGCAGGGCGGGCACCCGCGGGGGTTCCCGGGGC